GGGGGGGGGGGGGGGGGGGGGGGGGGGGGGGGGGGGGGGGGGGGGGGGGGGGGGGGGGGGGGGGGGGGGGGGGGGGGGGGGGGGGGGGGGGGGGGGGGGGGGGGGGGGGGGGGGGGGGGGGGGGGGGGGGGGGGGGGGTGGGGGGGGGGGGGGGGGGGGGGGGGGGGGGGGGGGGGGGGGGGGGGGGGGGGGGGGGGGGGGGGGGGGGGGGGGGGGGGGGGGTGGGGGGGGGGGGGGGGGGGGGGGGGGGGGGGGGTGGGGGGGGGGGGGGGGGGGGGGGGGGGGGGGGGGGGGGGGGTGGGGGGGGGGGGGGGGGGGGGGGGGGGGGGGGGGGGGGGGGGGGGGGGGGGGGGGGGTGGGGGGGGGGGGGGGGGGGGGGGGGGGGGGGGGGGGGGGGGGGGGGGGGGGGGGGGGGGGGGGGGGGGGGGGGGGGGGGGGGGGGGGGGGGGGGGGGGGGGGGGGGGGGGGGGGGGGGGGGGGGGGGGGGGGGGGGGGGGGGGGTGGGGGGGGGGGGGGGGGGGGGGGGGGGGGGGGGGGGGGGGGGGGGGGGGGGGGGGGGGGGGGGGGGGGGGGGGGGGGGGGGGGGGGGGGGGGGGGGGGGGGGTGGGGGGGGGGGGGGGGGGGGGGGGGGGGGGGGGGGGGGGGGGGGGGGGGGGGGGGGGGGGGGGGGGGGGGGGGGGGGGGGGGGGGGGGGGGGGGGGGGTGGGGGGGGGGGGGGGGGGGGGGGGGGGGGGGGGGGGGGGGGGGGGGGGGGGGGGGGGGGGGGGGGGGGGGTGGGGGGGGGGGGGGGGGGGGGGGGGGGGGGGGGGGGGGGGGGGGGGGGGGGGGGGGGGGGGGGGGGGGGGGGGGGGGGGGGGGGGGGGGGGGGGGGGGGGGGGGGGGGGGGGGGGGGTGGGGGGGGGGGGGGGGGGGGGGGGGGGGGGGGGGGGGGGGGGGGGGGGGGGGGGGGGGGGGGGGGGGGGGGGGGGGGGGGGGGGGGGGGGGGGGGGGGGGGGGGGGGGGGGGGGGGGGGGGGGGTGGGGGGGGGGGGGGGGGGGGGGGGGGGGGGGGGGGGGGGGGGGGGGGGGGGGGGGGGGGGGGGGGGGTGGGGGGGGGGGGGGGGGGGGGGGGGGGGGGGGGGGGGGGGGGGGGGGGGGGGGGGGGGGGGGGGGGGGGGGGGGGGGGGGGGGGGGGGGGGGGGGGGGGGGGGGGGGGGGGGGGGGGGGGGGGGGGGGGGGGGGGGGGGGGGGGGGGGGGGGGGGGGGGGGGGGGGGGGGGGGGGGGGGGGGGGGGGGGGGGGGGGGGGGGGGGGGGGGGGGGGGGGGGGGGGGGGGGGGGGGGGGGGGGGGGGGGGGGGGGGGGGGGGGGGGGGGGGGGGGGGGGAGGGGGGGGGGGGGGGGGGGGGGGGGGGGGGGGGGGGGGGGGGGGGGGGGGGGGGGGGGGGGGGGGGGGGTGGGGGGGGGGGGGGGGGGTGGGGGGGGGGGGGGGGGGGGGGGGGGGGGGGGGGGGGGGGGGGGGGGGGGGGGGGTGGGGGGGGGGGGGGGGGGGGGGGGGGGGGGGGGGGGGGGGGGGGGGGGGGGGGGGGGGGGGGGGGGGGGGGGGGGGGGGGGGGGGGGGGGGGGGGGGGGGTGGGGGGGGGGGGGGGGGGGGGGGGGGTGGGGGGGGGGGGTGGGGGGGGGGGGGGGGGGGGGGGGGGGGGGGGCGGGGGGGGGGGGGGGGGGGGGGGGGGGGGGGGGGGGGGGGGGGGGGGGGGGTGGGGGGGGGGGGGGGGCGGCTGGGGGGGGGGGGGGGGGGGGGGGGGGGGGGGGGGGGGGGGTGGGGGGGGGGGGGGGGGGGGGGGGGGGGGGGGTGGGGGCGGGGGGGGGGCGGTGGGGGGGGGGGGGGGGGGGGGGGGGGGGGGGGGGGGGGGGGGGGGGGGGGGGGGGTGGGGGGGGGGGGGGGGGGGGAGGGGGGGGGGGGGGGGAGGGGGGGGGGGGGGGGGGGGGGGGGGGGGGGGGGAGGGGGGGGGGGGGGGGGGGGAGGGGGGGGGGGGGGGGGGGGGGTGGGGGGGGGGGGCGGGAGGGGGTGGTTGGGGGGGGGGGGGGGGGGCGGGGGGGGGTTGGGTGTTGCGTGGGGGGGGGTGGGGGGGGGGAGGGGGGTGAGAGGGGGGGGGGGGGGGGGGTGGGGGGGGGGGGAGGGGGGGGGTGGGGGGGGGGGGGGGGGGGGGGGGCGGGGGGGGGGGGGGGGGGGGTGCGGGGGGAGGGGGGGGGGGGGGGGGGGGGGGGGGGGGGGGGTGGGGGGGGGGGGGGGGGGTGGGGGGGGGGGCGTGGGGGGGGGGGGGGGAGGGGGGGGGGGGAGGGGGGGGGGGGGGGGGGGGGGGGGGGGGGGGGGGGGGGGGGGGGGGGGGGGTGGGGGGGGGGGGGGGGGGGGGGGGGGGGGGGGGGGGGGGGGGGGGGGGGGGGGGGTGGGGGGGGGGGGGGGGGGGGGGGGGGGCGTGAGGGGTGGGGGCGGGGGGGGGTGGGGTGGGGGGAGGGGGGGGTAGACGGAGGGGTGGGGAGGGGAGGGGGGGTGGGGGGGGGGGGGGGGGGTGGCGGGCGCAGTGGGGCGGGGGCATGTGTTTTTTCATCGGAATGCGATCTAGGTATGATAGTACATGGAGCATCTGGGCTGTTTCCGTCAGGCCGAGAAAGCCTTTATAAAAGGTTAACCAAAACCTTGGCCTTTTGCGGAGGGCATTCGGGTGCTTCGATCCTTCCATCTTTCCTCAGATGCTCAACGCCTACATTCGGCCTCCTTCTAAGTACGCCATCCACGCCTGGCAGCCATGGCAAAAGCAAGAACTGCCACAATGAAGAACGACCAAGAACGTAAAGGGCCTGTTTCATCTCCCTTACATATTGAGGCTGAAAACCCTCGAGGTCTACGGTGGACAATATCGACGCCTGTGTGGCGATTTGATAATGACTTATATGAGCCAGAGGAATCCAAAGCATTCTTATCATCATCTACTAAAGATGAATAGCAATACAGAACTCAGAGGACACCAGCTAAAGCTGGCCACACAATACAACCAGTTGGAATGCCGCCGGAATTTCTTTTCCCTTCGTGTGTGCCAAAACTGGAACGCTCTTCCTATATACGTTGTTGCTTCCTCCACGCTAACGGTATTCAAAAGACGTCTGGATGATTCTCTTATCAACCTACATTAGGCTATATAATCAGAGATGTCCACGTCAAACAAACGCGAAAAAGCGGTGCTCATTCTCAGCTTTTGTGCTTCAATATTTACACACTGCTGTTGTGGAATATAGTTCCGGATATATTACAACTGCATTCATCAATTACCTCAATCCAAGGAAGCGGTGCACGAGTAATCGTTGTCATTTCTCTTGTTCTTAAGATAATTCTTCCCCATATTACTTCCCGTGTTACTCTACCGTAACAATTCAGTACACATTATACAACGTTTATATAAATAAGGGGCACTGGAATTCACTAGACGCTTAAACTGACGATTTACACTGATGTTTACTTTCACTTCAACCATCCTACGGGACTTTTAAAGTGATCGCTTTTTTACCTATAATATATTATTGGTCATTGTTAAACGTTCTCATCATACGGCTCAAGTATATGCACGTGTACCGCTTAGGGTCACAAGTTCTACAGCGGGCTTCCACTTCGTGATAGTTAAAGATGAGCTCTGTTGTTTGAGTAAGACTAAAAAGGCGGCTGAGAAAGCAATCCAGTACCTCGGCTTTCTTCCCAGAGCTTTCGGGAAATTTGACACTTCGGTCTTTCAAAAAATGCTTAGTGAGTACGTGAGGTCGCAAGTTGTATACGTTATTGAAGCGTGGCATCCCTGGCTTAAATACCACCTCACCGCGCTCGATACTGCCTAAGGTAGTGCGAGAAAGAGCGTCAGAGGTTTGACCAGCATCCAGTACCCAATCAAGCTGAAGACTCTCAAAATATACAGTGGAGGTTATCAGCGTCTACGAAGCGAATTCATAATGGTGTACCTCATCCTGAGAAACCCCACCCGCATACGCCATTCCCTTCTAATACTCAGTCAAAACACCCCGCTAAGAGGTCACCAGTCTAAGCTGGTCACGCAGTACAGCCGACTGGAATGTCGGCGAAACTAGTTTCCCTTCCTGTGTCACAGCCTTGGAAATCCCTCCCGGAACATGTAATTAATACACCCACCGTATTCCTTTTCAAATAACACCTTGACGATACTCTTCCATATTTTCATTACGTGCTATAGCTCATGACCATCAGATGCGGGCACTAATGCACAACAGACAGTGGATAGTGCCATAACCCAACTTCAGAATGAGTCACTCTAAACCTCGCACAAAGTTTGATAAATGCTACTACTATAGATACTGGATTTGTGTATCCCGGCTACCCAAGTTTAATGCATACTAGTAAGCATTGTCCTTGCTATTCTTTTCTCTCGCCCATTACGTGATCAATAACCACTCCCATTATTGCTTTGTGTGGGTATATTCTCACTTCAAACGCCCTTTACCCGGAAGTGCAATTAAATCGATAATCGGCTGAACTGACGACTCCGTTATCCATTGATCTATCTTTTCCCACCCTAAACCACCCTCCGGACATGGCAAGCACCTGTTTTTACCCGTTATGAATCATTGTTCATTCAAAAGTATGTGTAAGCAGACATCTGTTTTCGGTAATTTTTCATCTGGCTTTTACAATTACATGAAATGCAAAATTTTTGTATACAGACGCAACGGGCCGTCGGTCAGCCAAATTGATCCTAGTGCGCTGTAAAAACCGTCGGCTTCTGAGGTGCAGAAACTATCGTTATTCCGCTGTACGAACCAGCAATGTGCGCGTAGAAAAAGTTCACTCACGCGTTTAACCTACCTTGGCGAGAACGGACTGCAGTTGACTTGTACGCGCGTACGACTACAACTGAAACCTAACCGACGGTTTGTCACAGCGCACTAATATCCATTTGACTGACTGACGACCCGTTGGGTCTGTATTCAAAAATTTTGCATTTCGTTGTTCTTTGTTCATTGACAGTGGCGAGCACCCGCCGAATCCTACTGCACTCGAACCCACTACCTTACTATTGATAGTCAACGACTAATGTCACTGGGATATGGGCGACGGCAGGGGGCTGCCATAGTTGATAACAAAATGCCATATAGCGCGGCTCATCCTCCGCTGTCTTGCATGTTATGAAGGTGCGGAGGACAGGGCGGGCTTCCAGAGCAAGGACTTCCTTTACAAGCCGCCACCAATCGAGGTGAATTATTACGCAACATTCTTAGCGGATAGTTTGTTTCCGAAAAGGTGCTTGTAACGACATGCACCGTGATCAAAAGGATATAACAGGCCTTGATTAGCGATGCCTAACTCCCCATATTCGTAGGATGCAGTATCGCCTCGGCAATGTTTGCCTCTTGCAAATGATCAGCCGCTTGATTAAACACCGACCAACATATCAACCAAATTTAGCAGATTGGAGATAGGTAGGACCTATGTCCGATTTGTTTTGGCGTAGGTATGTCAGCGTATAGCTACCGAAATTGCAGGATAGGCAGAAATGTTTAACTGAAATCAGAGATATTTGGCAGGACGAATAGTATTGCTTTGTGATTCCTCCACATCAAGAGTCTGTGGCCTAAGTGTGTCGGTAAGGAAGTTTTCAAGAGCAAAGACCAATAAGTTCGATAAGCACTGGTAGGGACCAGCGAAGTTGTACTGATAAGAGATTCCAGACTTCTATGGCTAATAAAATAGTACAAGGAAGAAGAAAACGATGCCATGGAAGCCATAATCCGGAATACAAAATTGTCGGAAGGTGTAAAGTCCATACACACTTTGAATTTTTCCCAAACTGGATTGCTCACTTGAGGACACGGTATCCCTATTCCCTCATTCCTTTGCCCATTTCACATTACTTTCACTGAGTGCTAAAATCGGTTACCATATTGAACACTTCCTCCTTTCACTCTCGATCACTGACATATGCATATTTCTCTGTAACTTTGAATTTGCTCAATTCTTTCGCAAGCTGCTTCACGCTGCTCGCGTATTACGGTTTCTCCCTAATGCATTACGATTGCAAAATCTATTCGTAGGTAATGCACTGCATTTAATTTGCCTAATAGCACCACGGTAAAAACGTAATTCGTCTCATAATTATACGAAGAGCTTGCGTTCAGGTAGGTTTGTTGGTTTTGATTTTTGATTTTAATTATTGTACATTGTACTTACTTTAGCGTTCTCATAATTGCTGCAGCAAACATATCAGTGCACATTTAAACCACGTTTCCGTTTGTCACATGTGCCGTTGCCCCGAATGCTTCTGCATTTACGCCATTTCATCTAAAAGTGGCGTCGTTACCTGACATTGTTTACTGGACGATTTTCTTTATTTTTCCGACATTGATTGTTTGGCACACCTGTTTGGCGGGTGTGTTGGTTCACCTGAGCGTGTAATAACGGTCGATGTGGAGGCGCTGTTCAGGATGGTGTGTTCCGCATGCGTGCCAGTAGATTAGTTACATAATTTGGAGGACTTTAAATATCCATCCATTACGACTGAATGATGAACGATCAGCAGCGTAATACAAAATTGGAAGCAGCTAATGCAAGCTGTACTGGGCAAGCACGAGTTACAATTGACTTGATGACTGCAACAATAGCTTTCAAGAACGATAATTAATAACCATCAAACTTGGGTTTAAACTAAAATCCAGTACGTAGGTTTACGAGAACCCAACAGTAAGAAAATGAGAACATTCCAAGTCCAGCTGTATATCGTTTTTGCTAATAAAGTCCGGATTATGTTTGCGACTGCAGCTACTTTATATTTATCCGTCACTGAAAATGATAACTTGAGGTTAAATTACCATACTATGTTATTCATTACCCGGATTTTGGGTGCTTAAAACTGATTTTACTTCCGGTGTACGATCATGCTCAATTTAATTCAGTTATTTAACTTTTGTATATTTGCTTTGGTCACAAAATCCGTCGTGGTTTAAATGCTAGACAAGCCCAAACAATCTGCAAATTATGACCACTGAAACTGCCAAGAATTAAAAGCCTTAAGCTAAGGCAAATTGCGTGACACAAGGAGCCTTTTATTTATTGTCTGGTGTTCAGGTGATTATCATATACTAATGACTGCTCTCAGGATAACTCATACTACATTCACTTTTTCGGAGTCAGATGCGAGATTACCGTCGGTTTCCAGCTCATAATCATGTGGCTTACGAGTAACGCGCACTCGTCCTCGACTGCGCGTGACCTAACACTAGTGTCACAAACCTTGCACTCCTCAACATAAAAGTGAAAGAGCAAAATTTGTTTTTTACATTGCTGGGTAATCGGTTGCATTGGCGTTGAAATTTCTTCTCTAGTCGAAATATTTACTTCACCAATCCTCTGCCACCATCCTGCCAATAATTTGAACATGTTTGGACGAAACATTTACCGTTATCATTACATTTTATGACCTTTTTATTCAAGGGGCTGCAATTCGTAAACTAA